AAGCAAAGAATACATAAACTCGATTAAACGGCATCTGAGCGCAGACAATAACCTCATTTTTAGTTCTGCTTGAACAATAAAAAGAACGTTGTTTTTGTTGATTGCAGTCACCTGAGTCAAAAGGAGAGGATGCATTTCAAGCTACCTGCTCTTTTCTACCTGCACAACTCAATAATCATGACATGACGGTTTCTTTGGGCGTGTCTGTGAGTCCGTTACCTTGGCAGCTGGTGATTTGTGCATCACTGTAGTGAGGGCTTTGATTGTTGCTACAGCGAGGCAGTCGAGTCGCCCTTGAAACACCTGAAGAAAAAACCACACTTGTCAATAACTAAATCCATATATACCTCCCAGAGTATGTTGATTGGACACAAATCTCCTCTCATATGCTCCAGATGAAGGTTGCATGCAAACAAGTCAAAGCCACATTCATGTTGAAATGTTTGCAATGATGAAAGGAACTTATCTGGGGGATAAAAGGGAGACCTGAGTAGATCTCTTGGAGTTTGATTCAATTAGTGTGTGTGTAAAAGTGAGTAAAATCATGGAAAGACTGGAGTAGATGTTACAGTAGACATAACAAAAGCTGCCTTAACGATAACAACAAGCCTTTTGATAGCATGAAGCAGGAAGCTGTCATTACTAACGATAGATAAAGTACACACACAGAAAATAGAATTATTTCCCCTCAAACATCCACAAAAAAAGCATGCAACCCATCAAACACAAACCAAATGATAAATCAACACATCTCCATCCAGCTCTGTCCCGCTCATGTCTCTGAACTGCTTGTTCCTTTAGATTAAACTGAGAGCCTTGGACCAGCTGGAGAGGGACTGTGGTCAAAAACAATCAAACACTTAAGTCTTCACCACGGAGCATTACCCACAGTACGCCGAAGAAAACCAGGACAATGGGGAGGGGAGGGGGGATGCTTGAGGAAAACTCAAAATGTCAATTAAATCAAAATGACATGTGAAAGAGGCAGAGTGGTCACTCCACAGCAAGAAGGCAACGTTGCAGTCATTTGGGAAAGTGGGTCGATTCTGGTTTTGGAATTTCGTACCTATTTTGATCTGGATAATCTTTCAACGACATCTGATTTTATACAGTGGAGAAGAGTTGAATAAATGGTTACTTAGCTTAGTCAAACTACAACTCGGAGACTCCGGAGGAATATTTGACTGGATATCTTATTTTTAGAATAGGCAAAAGTAACGTAATTATTCAAACACTAAATGATATGTTCCCCTAAGACTGCACGGGATAGGAGTCAGAAGGGCCTGAACAAGGGAGACTTCTGATGGGTGTTTGTCAAACCCATTTCCATTCACATATCTTAAAGTGAAGTGAGGGACGACAGGAAATATTTTGGGGACATATTTACTGTAGCTTGCAAAAAACTGAATTCTACATCCTGGAAGTTAAAGTGTTATTTTAAATAATTAGAGATGTAAATAAAGGATGCCGACACAAACAACCGGTCTGATGATTCAGCGAGTTGTACACTTGATCCAATTACAGTACAAGTGATTATGAGAGACAATTAGAGATGTACAATTATGCAAACAACCGGTCTGATGGTTCAGTGAGTGCAGTGAGCCAATAGAGCGGTGCAGGGATGACGTGTTCACCGTGAAGGAAGCTGTTGGTTCCCTCCAGAAAAAAGCAACGGGATTTCTCCAGAGGATTTAGGAAAATAGCTCGAAATAAGGTCTGTGGAAAAAGAACCTGTTTGATAAATGCACGTTTTGTTCAGCTGGACAATCTCCACACGTCTACCCTACTTTTATAATGTTGGAATCATAACTCTAATGTCCAGAAGCTAAATGCTAACGTGATGCTATAAAGGAACTACAGCCGAGTCCAGCAGCACGACTTCAACGTCACGCCAACTTCAGATCCATATTCAAACACACAGATTCTAGATGGAACGAGTTGAAGCGTTTGTTTGAACAGTCTGCAGGAGGCAGGGACTTGCTTTCAAGCAGAACAGAAACTAACTTAGAGGAGTGTTTACGTGTTCGGCGTAATGACGTACAACGGCCTCCACGACTTCTGTAGTCCTATTCAGCCACTTGGTAACAACCATCGTTTTTCAGACACGTCCACTCTTCAGAAATCACCAGTGGGGTCACTGCTGATGGATTTAATGTAGAACAAAACGTGATCCGTCTCTTCGATGTGTCTCAACCACAGACCTTAGTTCAGTTATTTTCCAAAATCCTATGGAGAGATCCTATTGGCTCTGAGACCAGGGAACAGGAAGTGGAGAAATGCTGACTCACTTCCTGGTTTTAGGACTCATTCCTGCACCACTCTATTGCAAATGGTTATAAGAGACAAAGCAGGGTCTTGCTGTGGATTGGCCACATGGCTCTGATGGGGTGAAGGTGGATGATTGGGGGGGAGGGGGGTCAGGTTAGGTGAGGAGGGTCTTTTTCCCGGCAGTACCTGAGTGTCCCTCTCTCCTGTCTGTAACCTGTTGTTGGTTATATCTTTCTGGTCCTTGTCTGCCGCCGTGCACCTAGCATTAACCAGCTGACACACACAAACATGTCAACACAGCAGGGGGTTCATAGAAAGAGAAACAAGGGGGGAGTGGTGCAAGGTGGGAAGGGAGGGGAGGGGGAGATGGTGTAAGTGTGGGAGAGTTGAAAGGTTAAAAGCCATGACCCTCAGCAGAGGTCACTGTGTTGGTGATCCAGGAGGTCAACATGCACGGTGGGCAAAACTAATGTATTCACCATCTGTTTGAACTACATAGCCTCATTGTCTCCCTGAATGTGTACTTGAGTTAAATTGTAATCGTTGTTGCCTTTGAGTATATTATTAGTGTTCTATTTTCTTTGCTGTAACAACTAAACATCTTGGTGCTTTTCCCCTTTATCTACAGAATGACACTGAAGTGCAAACAAGCGGCAAGTGCACTGCGAGCCCTTGTATCATACAATACAAATGTACTTAACGACGTAAGTGCAGACTGCAGGGGAGATAAAATGCTCTAATGAAACCAGAACACAACTACAAACATCTTTTTGTTCTCGTTTCAGATACAAGATATAATTAACTGTAATAATAACGTTCCCTTTGACCCAGTTCTGGAGCAGCAGCATTATATCAAACAGCAGATCCAGCCACTCACACTCAATCCTCGGGTTATATTTAGATAAAAGCACCTTGCTGTTACCTTGCTGTTCTGCAGAAGTCGTGCCAGATGCTCGAAGCAGTTACTATTGAGGAAGATGGCTTGAAGAACGGGTCTGTCTGAACACAGGAACATCTCCCTGATGGTGTCTGGGAGAACAAGAGGAGAATAAGTCACGTTTAAGATAAGATGGAACTTTATTCATCAGGCCCGTCTACACTACAGGCATCAAAAAATCTTGAAGCTGGGCGTGTCTGAAGCTTGGCGATTTTTTGCGAGCAACGCGACCAACAACCAATCACATGAATCTCCCGCCCCCGACATACAAAGCAATAGCAATGTTAAAACGAAGTAAACTGGATATAAACTCTCCAAACAGGTGAAAACCTACCAGTTTCACCCACTGTCTCTGCCACCTCCCTCCATGCCTGGTTCCTCCGGTTTGTATCCCGGTAAATAGTTCTGGTCGTAAAGAACTGGGTGATTTGCTACCGTAATATCTCGTTTGGAAT